TCATTGTATTCTGATATGCTTCCTAAAGTGGGAGAGAATACAAAGAAATTATAGAGAGCACACTAGAAAACTACACATTAGAATATGTCACACATGTAAATATCTTGTACCTGGGTGGGAAAAAATATTGAGAATCATTGACTTAGATGACAAAATCTTTTCACTGCTAGATGAGACAATGAGGACTATTTAGTTCAAATCCTCTTTACTCAGTTCAGTTCTTGCTTCTCACCCAATAACTACAGGCTGGTCTGTACATTTAAACTATAAGTGTGTGTTCTTTAAGAATTAGAATCCCATACTTATAACACACATTTTGAAATTGGGTCTCTGTAAAATAGTGCACCCTAAAAAAAATTATTTACATCAGTAGAGACAGAAAACATTCCGTTAAGAGTTTTACGTATTATTACATTTGAAAATAAAGTTTAAGTTTTAAACACATTAAGTAAATGTAGTTTGAGATGGCAGGGAGCACTAGTTAGAGATTTAACAAAGATAACATTTAGTCTTTCTGTACCACTTTTAAGCAAATATTTGTGGTTTAAAGAAAAGGAATTTAGAGAAACCATCCAACAACAGATGATAATCTAAGGTGAAAAAAAATGAAAAAAAAATTCAGGAATTCAGACGAACTGCATATATTTTGAGGTAAAAATCATTTAAGGTAAATTTCTGATTATCCCTACTGAGATACAGTAACCCAAAAACTATAAAAGAAGAGCTAATCTGAGATACTTCTAATTATTTGGTTTGCACAAATGCAAATGTCATTCAACTTAAGTAAACTTAATGTACATTATTTTATTTTCCTAAATCCAAAACTTAGGGACTTTCAGGATGGCAGAATAAACACAGTAATACTAGGAGAGATAAAATGAAAGCTACCATGTAAGGAACTGAATATGGAACTTGAACACTTCCTAAATTCAGTTTTACCTAGATTGTCTCATTTCTTCTTCATAACAATCTTATGAGGCAATTTTACCATCCCCATTTTACAGATAAGGAAACTCTGGTTTAAAGACATTAAGAAGAAAATCCTGACTTTTGACTGGAACCCAGATTATCTGGCTCCAAAATAAATGGATCTTCTTGTCACTACACCCTGAGACTTGGCAAGAAACACATATATTAAAATTTTCAGTCTCTTCATTAAAACCTTCTAAAAGAAGAGACAACTTTTTTTGTTTGTTGGGGTGGGGAATAATTAGGTTTATTTGTTTGGTTTTTGATGGAGGTAGTGGGGATTGAACCCAAGACCTTGTGTATGCTAAGCAGGCACTTTACCACTGAGCCGAAGCTTCCCCCCAGGAAGAGACAATATTAAGCTTATAGTGAGTGGTGAGGATGTATAGACTAAAAATTAGGCACAGTCTGATAAATCTGAATATTTTAAGAAATAAGCCTAAGTCAAGAATGAAATTAAATTTTAAAAAGCTGAATATGAAGTAATCCCCAAAATAGAGAAATCTGAAAACTTCTGTAGAAAGGCACTAAGTAAACTTCACCTAGACATTTTGAATTCCAAAGAAAAAACTTGAGAGGGTCCATATTTTGTCAGTCTTACAGCAGTTTCAGATGGTTAATCAGACCTATATTTATATTTTTTAAAAAAGTGGGTAATTGCTTTGGTTTGACTCTTGTTCTGACTCTAGTCTGTCCTCTATTCTTTTCCATTTTTCCTCCAGATCTTGGAGCCCTCATCTAACTTAGGGTAACTGAGTCTCAAGTTCACTAACTCCTTTAAGTTTAGATGCGAGTGCTGACACACTGCAGCAAAGACCATAAAATTGCAATGATTGGTACAGAAGAAACAAAAGTTTAGTTATTTTCCTAAATAGTAACTATCATGGAATTATTGATGGCTTTTTTCTGTATAGTTTTTTGAACTAATTTTAAAGCATTTCATTTTTATAGTAAAAATAGGAGAGGGAGAAAAAAGGAAAGAGGGAATGAGGTGGCGGGAGAGGGAAACTTGGAGCTTTGATTAAAAAAATATCTGAACATCTTAGTCTTTCCAAAGTTCCAAAACTATGACCTGTTTGTTCCCTTTTATCTCTCAATGGTATGATAAATTAACTATATATAAGCTTGCCAAAGTCAAATGAGATATGGAAAAATAATGAGGCAATCCAAAGGTCTATAAATTCTGAGACATAGCTCAATTATAGTATTTAAGAAATTAGTTATTAAATGAGGTTAAGTATGAAAAACAGATTTAGGGTATACTAAAACTGAAAAACAGGATTCACATACTTATAGAAGAGTGCAAGCACTTCCTAAGCATGGAAAAATTATAAATATAATATAGACATTTGTGAATTTAAATCCATTTCTTATTCTTTTATTATAAACTGAAGTTCTGTATTAAAATATTCCTTTAGCAACACAATGAAACAATGGAACAATACCCAAGATAGTTTTAAGTTTTGTCAAAATTAACTTAAAATCTCTCTAGGTTACTTCATTTTCCATGAAACAGTTCTACTAAAAAAAGTTCACATTTGTAAGCTTTCTTTTTCCATTACAAAATACATTCTTATGCCAAAACAACATGCATAAGATTGGTCCAATTTACTATGTTACCAAAACAATGCATAATTGATAGTCCCTAGGACCTGTCTTCAAAAGAAGATGCTCATTTAAAAATCAAATATAAAACTATAATCTATTAACACAAGAGTCCAATTTTAAAACAAAACTTTTATTTGTATAACAAGTTCAATAGATTTCCTTTTTTTTTTTTTTCCTGCAGACCAAAAGATGCAGTTTACTCATCTGGGCCTTAATTTACAAAGATGACTTCTACTCACAGAACTGCTTTATAATAGTCTCACGGAATTCAATTACTATAGTTCTTATAATTGCTGTTTCCATCTATAAACGGAAATAGGCACTTTACAAAATTTTGGTATGATACGTATTTATGTTGATTTTCAAAATCGATCACTTCAGTCCCTCCGTTCCTTAGTACATACCATATGACAGCTGTCTTGAAAATGTTATTGCTGTGTAGGTGGTGAATATTCACTGCACAATTCAACTTTTCTGCATTGTTTGAAATTTATCATAGTGAAATGCTGGAGGAAAAAAAACGGCAAATTTGAAAGGTTCGCAGAAAAGAGTTATAGCTACATATGAGTTGAAGATGAAAAGAATCTGTCTACCAAAAGCCTGAATTATTTCAACTACTGACATCAACCTTTGAAATAATTGTGTAGAAGCTGCATCAACAATTTCCATGGTATACATTTAATACTGCCAACCATCAGTGCTGAAGCGAAACACATCTTCACTAAAAGTCTTTCGTGGAATAAACTAGAGAAAAAGTTTCCAAGTATACCTATGTACTCAGTATATTCCCAGTACCTTTGAAAATAGGTCCCTTGGCTCAAGAGAGCTAGTAGATAAGGCTTTCCGGATCACAAAACACAATGAGCCTTCCTTTGCATTGACTGACAAATGGGTGGCTCTTCACAAATGTATCTTCCTTAAGCCCATACGGGTAGATACACCAGGATTCCAACACTGCACAGTGAAATAATATTTTGCAACACTTTTAAAAAATCCTGTTCCCACGCCATAGGCTGAAAAGCCCTTCCTAGCCTTTAATCACTAACATAGTTTTGGTCTACTCTTAATGATTTTTCTGTTGCACTTTTTATATTGGAGACTTCAATTGAGAAATTTATTATCTTAAAATATTAGGAGAAATAGAAAAAAAATGGCACTACACCTTTAGAGAACTTTATGCCAAATTGACAGTGAGACCACTACGAATATAAGCAGCTTCTTATGAAATAAAAAGATTAAGGCTTTTTAACCATAAAACAAAAGGAAACGAAAGTCTACGAGTCGTAATAAACTACTAGATTTTGGACGGTACAACACTATATGTCAAAATCACAAATGCACAAAAAGTAAAAAGCAACAACTTCACAGTAAATTTGTGCACGACTACCGCCCTAACACCACCAACTCAATTAGCGTTTTCTAGAAAGCTAATGCTGAAGGAGATTCCAAACACCTCCTCAACCCTAAATGGCAAAGACAGAACAGAGCAGAAATTGCCCCAGCTGCGCTAGCTTCACACTTAATCTATCTCTTAAGGGTCACCCGTGGCCAAGACAGGAGCAGGGATGTAAGAGGGGTTGGGGGGTGGTGGGGCTGACAAGGGAGAAGAGCTGGGGGCAGACTGCGCCGGTGGAGAGACCGCAGGGCCCCATCAGTAGGAAGGGGTTGGGGGAACACCTAGGGGTTGGGGGTGGCCTCCCCAGCCCGAGGGCCGCGCCAAGAGGAGTCCCGGGAGAGAAGAGGGTCCAGCCGTGATGGGCGGTGCCCACTCCTCGCAGCACCGCCCCACACCCCGCAGCCCCCCGACCCGGCTACGGGGCGGGGCCAGCGCGCCCGCCTCCGCTCCCTCGCTCCGGCACCCGCCCCCTCAACCTACCGTCCCC